GTTTTTTCTTTTTTGGGGGGGGGGGGGGGGGAGAACAGGAGTTTCCTGGGGCCAACCCCCACACCCCCCAAAAAAATCCCCCACACTGCTACCTTGCATTGTGGAGAACAGGTGAATGTATGAATGTATGTTATGTGATGCCACAGATGAGTCTGTGGCATGGCTGTTCTCGCCTGGATGCAGCCATAGGGATTTAGAGAGTCAATTCCGCTCAGAAAGTTGTAGTTGCAAAAAAATTGAGATGAGGCCCCAGTCAGTTCATTTTAAATAAATTTGCTATACAGTCTTTCTATAACATGCTTATATTAATATAGAGAAAGTGTTGTCACCTCAACATTTGTTCTGTTAGGAGAGTCCTTCCGTGTCTGTTCAATCAGATTTACTGTGGTTCCCTGTTAGCTCTATTATCTTTAGTTTGTTTTATACCCAGGTTGTCATTACCTGCGGTAGGTCTAGCTTGGTAATCTGAGGTTTCTGCCCGCCAGTTATTACTCGGAATTAATTTTTGTTCCATATACTGGCTGTCCAAGAAGCTTGTATAGTACAACTTATTCCTCTCCTCTGCCCCACCCACAAAAAGGTAAATTCAGGCATTAAAGTCAGCAATCCATGATGATATGTGAACCCCTGGCCCAGAATCCCCTCAATGGCCTGAAGTAATTAGATAAGAATACAATGTCTTGTATTGGCAGAAGCAAACAAAGTCAAATTTGACTCCAGTATTAGACACATCACCATGAACTACTCACCAACAATTTTGTAACTTTTCAAATAAATTGTGTTAATATTTAAAAGACTGTTGCATAAGTACTCCAATATTTATTCCTAAATGGGCCTGAGAGATGATGGACAATGTCTTGCTTTAAATATGCTAAGAGAATTAAACTATATGAACCTGGGAAGCTATGTTCACTTCATTCCCTCATTGTGTTGTGCTAACAGCTCAAATCTGACATTTTAACCAATAACTGTTAGGTAAATTCCACTTGAAAAAAAAAATCCAAATCGGTGCATTTATCTTAACAGAATTTGGCCTATCTTTTTATTACTTAGTTATAAAAAAAAACTTTCCCTTTCACTTGACAAAACAGGCATTCAGGATTACAGATGGGTGCAAAATTGTTTTCCCATACTAGAAAAAAATTATGATTAAAATTATCCTAATCCACATCATGATTGATTCAAGCCCTCTCAAAGTTTTCCATAACCCTTGCCTCACCCTCAAAGAATGAGACTGAGAGAAGACTCACACCATACTAGCAAATACTTCAACAGTTCAGCAACTCACCCTAGAATATGAGGGACCAAGGTCAGGGACTTGATTTTGGCTAGGGACAGACATTCAAAAAGCCTGAGCCTGCATTGATTCAATCTTTGCAGGTTAGTCTAACCTGGCGAGGCTGAACTGGTTTGTAACTGGACAGACATTCTCTCTGGACTGAAGAAATTCAAGCACATGTCTGCAGTGGCTCAGGCTAGAAGCCAGAGGGCACTAGGGCAGCCCATTCTTCCTTCTACAGTGCTGAGCTGAGGGGGCGTGGCTCGGCTCCCGCAGGACTCTCTGATTAGGGAGGTCTGCTTGAATGGTCCCAGGCTTTTCCCTGCTGGCTGCTCAAGGGGCGGGAGTGTTGCCAGACCCCTGCTAGCACTCTGAGACAATGGGAGGCGCAGAGAGGACGGGTGTGCAGTACATGCATCCACTGATGATATGGAGTTTTTCAATATCGCTAACTGAAGCAAACTGACAGGCCAGAAAGCCAGCAGGAGACTGACAGTGATTATCACTTCATCAGCAAAATAATAGGCTCCATTACTTCAAACCCTTCTTAAACAGCATACTGGCTGACCTGTTGATTAGCTCCAAATGGCCCTAAGCTGTCACTGTGCTGTCTGGCTGTCCCTGTGAAATTGGAGAGAGACACACACACAGACACCTCTCAGCATTAGCTAGCATACCACGTGCCTAGGGTCTGTGGGGCTGGGATCTGTTCTGTGGGAGATGTGGGAGGGGAAATCCCTGCTTGAGCAGCAAGCAGTGAGGGGGATGGGGCTAGGGCAGGGTGAAGCCAGGCAGATCCTGCTGTATCTGCAGTCTCTACTGTGAGCTTCAGAGCTCCAGCCAGGGAGCAGGGGGGGAGGGGGGGCAACTCTGCTGTTGAGCAGAGACCCACCAGCCCAGCTTTATGTGCACTGAACATCTGTTCTGGTACAGGTTTAAACCAGTTCCTGTGTAATGTCTGTCCCTAGCCTTTGAGTCTCTCACAATGCACTCAACATTAGACTATTAGCTATTTAGGGTGGGGAGGGGGTGCATTTTGCTCCAATTCATACAGGATGTTGAGATCCTTAAGAGAGAGGGTAAGCAAAATACCATGACCTCCTTATAGAAATCAGTTCAAATGAGCTGTTTTTCAATGAAAAACATTGTCAGGAGCCACTAGCTCTAGTCTGCATCTCTGAAATAAAATGCTCACATCTAGGCAACTACAACTTCTTACTTTGGCAGACCGACTCCATCCCATAGAACTGAAATAGCCCTATCATTAACACAGGATTACAGAATAATAGACAATCAGTTGATCTCCATCCCCTCCACCCAAAAAATGACAAAACAAATGAACAAACAAGCAAAACAACCCACACACCACAACCACCCCTGGATCTCCCTTTCATTTGACATTATATTAAATATTAACTAGTTTTAAAGAACAGTCATTGCTGCTCTTTATGTAGTATACAGGATGCAGATGATAAAAGCTTAACTAGGCTATATTATGCTTGTGCAGTGATAAAGTAACATCCTGGTCTCCGTATCTGGGTTGTTCATAAAAAGGTAGTTCTCTGTAGCCTTTGCCCCCTGGCTGTAGTATACTTTGGCTGGGGTAAAGGCAGTCAGTCCATAAAATTGGACCTCCGCTGTTTATAGCTCCAAAGCATTTGAAAGTGCAGACTTGTGTGCACTTTCATATGTGCCCATGTATGTCTACTCCCACATGCAGTGAACCCCCACTATTTAAATAGTTCATGTCAACTGAGGAACAGGAAGGGTGAAATCTTGGTCATGAACTACTTTATTAAAAGGATTTAAAATAAACAGCACTTACTTTTAGGAGTGTATATATGAAATGCAAAATACGCACAAACTTTCAGGACAAAGATGAAATGGGTAATCACACTATGAAAATGTGTGTCAGGTTATTAGCAAATATTTTATGCAAAGTGTGCTGCATGAATCAACATCTTCACTGAGTTGCAGCACTTCAAAACTTTTAATCTGCCTAGGTAATATGTTTTTTCTGGTTAGTTAGAAAGCCAGGAGAGAATGGAGGACATTCATATAAGGGGAACATTTAAATCTTTCCAGTACATCACCATAAGTTTCCCAAGGAGATGGTAAAAGATAACTAAGTTCCCATGTTACAAAGATCACCCTCCCTGCCAGAAGCTACCTAAGGTCAGGGTTAACACCTTTGGCAGCATGGATGCTATAGAAAGAGTAAGCATAAAGTCTAAATACAAACCAGTTTTTACTTAGTAGATGAAAACATTGTTTACAGTTGAGTAGCACCACTAAAATAAACTGAAATAGGAAAATATCCTTTGCGACTCCCTAAATCAGGGCTTATGAACTTGTCATCAGATACTTTATTTAAACTGTGGAGGAGAATCTTTAAAGGCTCGGTCTTGTGACATGCTGAACAACTCAAACTACCTTCTGACTGCAGTGGCAGGGGGGAACACTCCCCACCTTGCAAAACAGAGCTTTAACTTCTTTTTTATTTAGAATAACTGCAGCACTAGTAGACTAAATTATTTTGCCTGAGCTTCAAAGGCCCAGCCCTTACAAAAATATACTAATATAATACAGTATTTACAAAACCAGGATTTAGAGCCTGTTTTCAAGAATAAAACAAATCTTTTATAATCAAAACATTGCTAACTAAAAAGGAAGACATCTTACCTTGAAGCATCAAAGCTGTCATATGATCCAACTGTGTAGTGTCTGAACAATTTCTTTGTTCTATCTGCTCGAGTTTCTGTGCAAAAAGATGGATATTTAAAATAAAAACAAAACAAAGGCTTTAAATAATTCATTTATACTTATAGGAGGAAAAATATTCAAGTTCTTATTTACAATTGGAAAGCAGATTTAATTTTCCAATATATATCAATATGAATCTTTGGGAGTACTTCAACTAGTATTGGTATGGTCTTACATATTTTAGGTGGGAGAAAGACTGATTTTGCAGTTAAAAAAAAAAAAAGTATTACATATTAAATTTTGTGACATCAATACGTGTGCACAGAAAATACAGTATCACCAGTATTTTTTCTATCTAGTGCATCTTTTAGAAAAATTTCTTCTGATTCAACAAATGTTTTGTGAATTCCTGGACAATGCTCTCCCCATTATCAACTAGAAACCCTAACCAGTCCTAATCTCAAATTTTAGTCTGAGAAAAAAAATAATCCAAACTTTTTATAGTTACAAATACATAAAAAGGTAAAATAGGAATTCTTGTTATTCCACAGCTATAATGTGTGTGTCAAAACCCTTAGCAGGATAACCAAACAGAAAGAAAATGGAGGCAAAGGAAAGAAAGGAACATGCTCCCTGCCCTTCTGCTACTTTACAACTATCACTGCCAAGCAAGTCTCACAAGAAAAAACAATACTGTTATGGAACCTATGCCTCTTCTATATTAAAAAACACCTTCTTGGCATACAGAGAGACATAAAGGAATGAAGGATGGGGCTATATCTGTCAAAATGGCATTTGAGAAAAGTCAGCCATGCTGCAGCTTAGGAGATACTTGTGTTAAAAAAAGGAAAAACAACACGCAAGACCAATGGCGTTTTTTATGGCATGTCTCCCATATGCCATAAAATATCACTTGTGTGGACCAGGGAAATTTCTTAAAGCTGAAAAGTTGAGTGTTATCCTGAAAATAGAAGGGAGGGGAAGATGGAAGGAAAGACTCTTGAGCAGGAGTAATAAGAGGGAAGACAGAAAACTGGAAGGTCTCAATCACAGGTCGTCCTACCACTGCATATTGTTTCTGCATCCCCCCCATACAAAACACGGGCATTATTGATAAGTAATGGAAGAGTTACAGTCATACTTTATCCAGCAAAAATCTCAACAGCTATCAAATAAAAGTGAACGCACAGCAGTGCTGGGACAGCAGAATCTGAAACTGAAGGAAGCATTTTTGCTGACCAGTTAGAAAGACATGGGCAACTAGAGCCTTACAAGGCAGTTCCTGTAGCTGTTCTGTTCCTATTTTCTCAGAGCTTTGGGCTATAGGAATTCCTACCTGACTACACATCCTAAGCAAGGAATCAAAGATGGTGACCTATTGTGATGGGCCTCTGAAAAATATATACAAAAACAATAAAATGCAGACCATGTTAATGTTTGGCACTTCCAGAGGGTCTTTACTACAAGGAACTCAGAACACCCTTTTAGCATTAATTCTTCCAACATTCCTGCAAAAATGATGGTAAATACTATTTCCCTTTAAAGTATGCAAGGCTAATACTTACCCAAAGTCACAGAAAATCAATGGCAGGGCCCAGAATACAGCCTACAGTCCCATGTGTTATCTAGTAGACCAGCACTTCCCCACTTTGTGAGTTTGCACCTCATTGCAGTAAAGCTGTCCCTCTACTTCAGATACTGCCAATGCGTCCTCCAATTCCAATTCCACTTAACAGTGGGTGGGTCTGAAGTTGGGGGCATTTACCAGTATGATTCAAACATGCCCTCCTCCCTCCTGGAACCTTTTGGGGCTCCCCTGGAGAGAGGGGGGAGGGTCACACTTAACTTTGTAAAATGCTGCATTAGACTATTCCCATTTCAGAAAAAAAAATAGGTCTTCTTGATATCCGTGATCATTAAACATGCTTAAGCTTAGAAAATTCTCTCTAATCAGGTTTTCTTTAAGCATCATGTAAAAATAAAGAAGCTTTAACTAAATACCATTAAAGAATCTGAACAGGTGAAGACAATGCTATTGTAAGAAATGTAAAGAGTTTTATAAAAATTCTGCCTCCCCAGATCACTAGATTGCTTATGAAGAGTGACCTACTGTGACTTGGAAGACTTTCATACAAAGAACAACACTAAAATGACCAAATACAGCTGCTGCACAGATTTCTTTTAGTACCATGAAGATATACCTTAAGGTCGAGTCAAAGACATACTTACACCTGGACCTATTCCCTATTTACAGCTGGTGATAGATTTCTAGACTCTGCAATAGGTTAACTTAAAAAAAAAAAAATCCCCAAACCAAAACAAAAAAACCCCCACCAGAGCAGGAGGGGTGGGTGGGGCATGGAGCAAAGAACAGGACAAAGCACAATTTCAGGGCTCTGAAAGCTATTAGTTGAGTCTTGTAAGGAGCCAGATGCTTCTACTGCGAGATGCTATTTTCTACAGCATGATATTTCAGTTCTATTAACGTATCTGAAGTGGGTGGGAGAAAAGGAGAAAGGCAGCAAGACAGATAGCATTGTTTAGCTACCAACTACATGTAAAGCCAGGAATCTATTGTTTTAAATCTGTGCCTCTCCAATTCACAGAGTACTCTGGATTCTGCAGGGAAACATTTAGACTTAATTATTCCTGGATTCTGAGACAGGAAGCAAAATTTCCTGGGTTTATGGATAAACCCTTCAGCTCTTTAGTAATCCCATTTCATAATCCCTATTCAGAATCCAGTCTAACCTATTAGCCAGGAAAAACAAAACAAATAGTCCATGAAGAGAGAGGTTTCTGGGGAGTTACCATAATAAAAATGGAACAAATCAATGCAGCTTCTTCTCCATTCCTACATGGGCCAAAGTGACACAAAAAACATAGATATATTTGCACAATAAGTATTTGTTCAGAATTGTTGTTCTAGATTGAGACCAACTTGGGATAGTAACAAATTTGGTAGCAATAACTGATTATTTCCTGCTGTCAGTAGATGGAAGATGGACATTCATCACCCTACTTCTGGACCTCTCCAAAGCATTCAGCACTATTTGTTCAGCGCTGTTTGTTTATCATGTAATACAGATATCTAGCTCTGGAGAGAGAGCAGGAATCCAGGGAACATGTTCAGAATTATTCAACTCCTCTTCAGGAACTATGAAAATGTACTTTCTAAAAACCAAATCCATCACCTGTGGAATTCCACAAGTATCTGTCTTATCTGATCCTACTCAGTTACATGGAAGTACTAGGAAAACTAGCAAGATAATATATGCTCAAGTGCCAGCAATATGCCCATAGCAGGCAGCCTGCCTCTGCCCCCACCCTACCACAGACTCCACTTGGCTCTGCTCTAGCTGTGCCACCAGGAGGGGATGGTGGGGAGGTGCATTTTAGGCCCCCCTCTGGCCAAAAAGTCATTGCCTATGGGTGGGAGTGCTCCAAATGTGACCCTCCACCCCCAAAACAGGAGTGTCCCTAAGCACTGGCAGGGAGGGAGCACAGTCCGAGTCCTCTCCACCACCCCTCCATGAGATAATGAATGCCAGCTGCGTCTCTGAGCCAGCTGTTTCCAGGCAAGCAGGGAGCACATCAGCTCTCTCCCTCCCTCGCTGCAGGGGGAGGAGACTTTGATTTCTCCCTGTAGCAGACAAAGGACATAACACTTGACCCTTACAGGGAACTGTATAGAAGTTCCTTAAGGTGCTGTACTTCAAATCAGGTAATAAAGGAAGGCACTCTAAAAAGGGTTAAATTTGTCACACAATCATCCATTTTAAAAGCACCCTGCAACCGTGCATGTGGGTTATAACACAGATGTAGAGTGCTTTCAGAGGCCAGATCACATGAAAAAATGCAACTCATACCTACAAAACACTATTCAAGTTGAAGATCATCAGGGATCCATGGTAAAATGTGGTAAACCCCAGATTTTCTCCTTTAAAAGAGAAAAACCTGGGAAGCAGTGGGTCCCCCCTTGCAATCTGGCAGAGTTCCAGCCTGCAAGGGGCCACGAGTAGTGGGAGGAAGATGGTCAGGCAGGGGGCACAATGTGCATGTGTGCACATGCATGCAGCTCCTGCAGGTAACTCTGATGGATGGGGGAGAATTGAGGCCCCCATAGTGAAGGAGGGAGGAAGCTGGACAGGGCTAGGGGTGTTTTCCCAGCCTGGTGGTGCGTGGGGCTTGGGCCTGTAATGCATGGCTGTAGGGCCCAGGCAGGGAGCAGGGCACAGCCATGGGCAGCTCATCCATAGGGTGGGGGGAAGAGAAGGAGAACCGACTCCCTGCTGCTGTGCGCACTCCCAGGGGGACATGTGCCCCCCAGATTTGTGTGCAGGGCAAATGTGGGCTGCCTGCTGCAGGCTTGGACTCCCTACCTTGCTGCCCTCTCTTTAGGGCCTCCACAGCCCAGCAGGCAGGACCTGGCATGGCAGGACAGAGCAGGCTGGCAATGGTTGATACCATTGCTGCCACTCGGAGCCCCACACTGCCATGGTAAGGTGCCCCTCTGCCCTCCCTGCAGCAGTGGGAGTGGCAAAATGGACGGTGGCATGGAGGGCATCACTCGCAATGGTGATGTGGGGCTCACAGCGGCAACACCTTGCCTCACTTTGCCTTGCTGCACAGGGTCCCACCCACTGGGCCCCAGAGGCCCTGGGGAAGAGGGCAGAAGGGAAGAGAACCAAGGCTTCAACCTGCACCCACCTCATGCACAAATCTGACGAGCACATACCCCCCATGCCCCATCTAAGCTGCATGCAGCAGCGGGGAGCTGCCCCCGCACTTGAGCCCACAGCAGGCAACCTGCCCCTGCCCCTCCTCCCCCCAGATGGACTCTGCTCTGCCTATGCTGCCCATGGGGGAGGGAAAGTCAAGCTCCATGCTCCGTTCCACTGCAGCACCTGCCACATCCCACGGGTGGCAGCCAGGGCTTGGGTACATGTGGGAGGCCTGGGGCTGTGGACCTGGGTCCCTGGCCCCATAGCCCTGGAAGCTGGGGGCCCCCTCCAGCAGGGCTAGGAGGCTGTGGATGAGAAGCGAGGGGCACCA